AGTCAGAAGTACAAGTCTTGCTGGACCTGGTGGCATGCACCTATAATCCCAGAACTCAAGAGGCTGAGGCAGGAGGATCATTGTGAGTTTGAGACTAGCCGGGGATAGGAAGTGAGTTTAAGGCGCACCTGAACTAGATAGCAAGACATTATCTTAAGAAACAAAAAAAAAAAAAAAAAATGTTAAAAAAATGTTCAAGTTTCTGGAGAAAGGAATGAATGATAAATTGTTTTGATCTCATTAAGTAACCATATGGGGAAACACTGATTTCAAATGTGTGAAAAAATAGTAAAACAAAAGAAAATAATAATATGTAACTTTAAAAAATTACTGGTAATGCTCAGAAATATTTATGAAAAATTGAGTGCATTGCAGCATTACTTATACTATTGAAAGATTAAACACAACTTGCACACATTAGGCTAATTGTGGTATAGACATATCGATAAAAAATTACTTCTATGTAGGTTAATGAGTTTAGCTAAAAGTCTTCCTTAAACTGTTGGCCAACTCACACTATTTCCTCAAAGGAAACTGCTAATCTGAAGATCTAGTAGAAAAGCAAACTCACTTTCTGCCACCATCCTCTCACAACCCTTCTCTGACACCAGATATGTGAGAGTTTCACACACACATGCAAGAAATCAGTTCTGCAGCAGACACCCCCAGGCACCCTCTAATTCATCACAATTCTGACATAGTCTATTTTGACTTTGGGCTGTGTCCCACAAGTTGAGGACTCAGTGCTCAAGACTGCGTGCACTTCAGCTGTCGGTAGCAAGTCCCAGCCTCTAGCGCTTCTGACATTCCAACTACCACTTGGGGCTCCTGTGACACCTCCTTGAGTTCCATTAATTGGCAAGAGTTGTTTGCTTACATTACTGCTTTATCACACGCACACACACACACCAAAAAACATGAACAAATGGACAGCTGGAGAGACCTGTGGGGCTGAAAGGGCCTGGTGGGCACACAGCGCCCTCCCAGCGTGTGAAGGAGCCCTGTTCACTTTCCTGAGATCCCCCACGTGTCCAGCTGCCTAGAAACTTCTGAATCCTGCCCCCGTTTGGTCTTTCATGGAGATTTTATTGCATAGGTGTGATTAAACCATGGACAGCTGTGGAAAAATGTGATCAGACCAAAGGGTCTGATCTAATATTAGCACACTAGAAAAACTCGGCAGGGCTTGTCTGTTCAGATCCATCTCTGCCTCTTTCTGTAACATTTCTTCCTCATGATGTAAGCCAGGACCCCTTCTGATATAGGGGCCTTCTGATCTCCTATCACATAGGTGGGCCAGAGAAACGCCTGTATGGATAGCTTCAAGACAGAAAGGCAGAGAAAGCTTACAGTTTATAACTCAGTTTATGAAGGGAAACTCTGGTCTCTATGGCCTTTCTGGGAGATGAAGCCAAGAATGGTAGACAAAACCCAAAACCTGCATACCATACGCACACACACACGTATGAAACCCCGTAATACAATATCACAGTTAGCAACAGAATAACAATCTTCCAAGACAAATATCTGTGGGTGCCTCACATCACCCAACTAGAAGGCTGAAAATGTTAAGCTGGTGGTTGAAAAGGAAGTATATATAAAAATTTTGTTTACTATTGACCCCTTGAAGGATAAATGATAGAACCATTCATGTTAAAATGGAGAGAAGAAAGTCATCTTTTATAATTTTCAGTACACTGCCTAAAGCTGCAATTTTTCATAAATTTTAATGTGGAATCATAGCAAATATAAAATATGTTGATAAAGTCATAGACTAATTATATCAATATTTAGTCTTCACATATTACACTAGGAACCTACTGTATGGTAGGTTTCTTTAATTTTGGAGTGAAGTCTACTAATTAAAAAAAGTTATTTTCTCTGTTTTTAAAAAAGTCTACAAATGTTTAAGTCTGACTCTGAATGCTAACAAAAAGTTAGTGCTGCAGATAATTACCAGAAGCCAAACAGAACTCTAGGTCCTTTTGATTATCACTTTGAGAATTATTTTACTATTTACCAATATTTACAAACTTCTTCATTTATGTGTATGAATTCCTAAATGCAACTTGTAACTTCTTCATTTATGTGTATGAATTCCTAAATGCAACTTGTTGTTTGTTACTTAGCTTGATGGTACCTGGGATCCACCGTTTTCCGATGAATCCTGCAGCCCAGTTTCTTGCCGGCAACCTGAAAGTCCAAAACACGGCTTTGTGGTTGGCAATAGGTACAGCTTCAGAAGCACAATTATTTATCAGTGTGAACCTGGCTATGAATTAGAGGTAAGCAAACAATTTGTTCAACTGGAATGAATTTATTTTCCAAAACATTGGGGAATATTTTTGGTATTGACACAACTTTATGAATGCTGATCCTAATACACACCGCTGTACTGTACTGCCTTAGAGATTAACATCAAGAATGTACTGTTTCCTCAACTGACCATGTAAACTTGTCTTGACTTGTTGGCAATCATCCTTTGCAAAAAGGAAAGCCACCTATCACTATGGTGAGGTGACATTAAGGTCTTAGGTATGCAAAGCCTGGGCTTCCTCAAACATAGGCTTTGGTAATGTCTCGCGGTTGGGATGCTTTGTTCCCACAGGCCGGATGTGGCCTCAAAATCATCCTCAAGACTGGGCGTAGTGGTACACACCTGTAATCCCAGCACTTGGGAGGCTGTAAACAGGAGGATCACTAAGAGTCCAGTCTACGCAGTGAGACCTTGTACACCCTGTCCTAAAAATACAAAAAAAAAAAAAAAATCATCCTCAATGCAATGCTAACAAATATCAACTTTATTCTTTTGTTTGTTTGTTTGCTTGCTTGCTGTTTTTGTATGTCGTGAGTCTGACTCAGGTCCTTATACTTGCCAGGCAGGTGCTGTGCTTCTGAGCTATATTGCTGACCCTCAATTTTACTTTTTTTTTTTTTTTTTTGCAGGACCAGGGATTGAACTCAGGCCCTTGCACTTGCCAGGGAAGTGCTTATTCTACTAAGCCATCTCCCTGGCCCTTCAACTTTATTCTTAATATTTCCTTGCTTGTAATATTAAAACCCCATCAACAGCACCTACATCTCCCTATTGGCATCAGTGGGAGGCTGTTAATATTTTAGAAAGCATTGTTGTATTACCAAACATGAAGCTTAGGAGACCTGTGAGAAACTGCGTTAGCTTCTCATCTGGTTTTTCAGGAAACTCCTCTTTCCTCTCTTTATTTGTACAGTGATATTTAAATACAGGTTTTGCAGAATATTCACTGCCAGGGATCTGTTAAGTTTGTGCAGCTTGCTCCATTACTTTCTGACCTGGCACATAAGATATCATAAAATAGGTGCATGAAAGCAGGAGTGAGGCTTCTATGGATCTTGTTTTATTTCATCAGAATGTTAAGAAAGAGAAACATAAAAAGGATGACAATGAAATTGTTGATAGCAATTGGAGAATTTTCCCAGCTTTGAGTCCTATTTGTCCTTTTTATAAGAGTATGAATTTTGTAACTAATTAAATAGAGCAGTGCAAGCATCTGGAGAAAATATACAGCAAAATGATTAAATTTGAAGTAGTGGATAATGTCAATCAAGTGCTAACTACAGAATTTTTTATTATTATTACATGTATTTGGTACAGGGTCTGCAGGGTCTACAGTGTCTCACTACATACATCAGGCTCGTAGTGATTCTCCTGTGTTCAGCCTCCCAAGCCCTGGAATCATAGGCACGTGCCAAGACACCCAGTCTCAGCTGTCGCCTCAGCGCACCCTGGGGATGGGGCTGGCACAACATGCCAGGGGTCAAACCCCAGCTGCTCTGCCTAAGCAGGCGCTTTAGTCCGCTGAGCTATCCTGCCAGCCCTAACTATAGAATTGAAAGAGGTACAATATCAATTCTTCTCACTTCAAGCTATCACTTGACAAACTTTTATAAAATACTGAAGCCCAGTTACTTGGAGAAATAACTTATTCCAGGTCACAGGTGAGAAATGTAAAAGAATGCCTAAAAACTCTTATCACATGAGATACTGGAAACCCACCAAACACTTCGTGTCAGAAGGACCCCGAAGCCAACTGCATGAAGTTCACCAAAACTAAGACCATTTCAGTGGCAATAAAGATAATAACTTCAATGGACTGAGATTCCTCAGATTCTTCATGAATGATATTAGAATCATAATGGTATTGAAAAAACAAGTAACTACTGGTGGATGTTTGTAACATTCATTTTTAAAGGGTTCGGTTGAAGGGGAAAGAGTCTCTTTCTAATGTTAAGTAAAGATAAGAATTGCCAGATTGTAGATGTATCTTTATAAAAGTATTCTACTGATTAAATTAATGAATTTAAATATCAGAATTAACACATTTAAGTTATGATCACCATGGTTGCTTGATATAATTGAAAGGAAAAAACTAAATAAAAACAGACATTACATACCTCTGAATAAAGAAAATCACAGCTCTATGAAAATGAACTGCCCTACTTGCTATAGAAAAATCAAGTTTGAATTCTGTCTAGTTTCTAAGTCCAATATACAGTATCTGAGACACCATAGGAAGGAAAGCAGAAAATCCCATCTGTGAATCTAGGTGCAGTGCTATGCACCTATAATCCCAGCACACAGGACAGTGAAAGAGGAGGACTGTGGAGTTCAAGGCCACCCTAAGCTACATGACCGCAAGGCCTGCCTGGACTACATGACAAGGCTGTATCTCAAAAAAACAAGAATAACAACAATATCCTGTCTGTGGGAACATCTACAGAACAAGTGATCCTGTTTTCCAGTCTGAAGTAAATTGACAGAGTTCTAGGGAGGAAATGAAGATGGAACTATAATAGGTTTAGAGATACTGAGACACCATTTTGGGATTCTCTGAAGAAACAGTACCAATAGGAGGGAGGGAGAGAGACAGAGAAAGACAGAGAGAGACAGAGACAGAGAAGATTGTGAAGAACTGACTCACAGAAGCATGGAAGTAAAACCCCATGCCCTGCCATCTGCAGGCTGCAGACCCAGGAAGGGTAGTGGCACTATTCAATCGAAGTCTGAAGCTTAAGCACCAGGGGATTCAATGATACATATCCTAGTCTGAGTTCGGAAAATTGAATTGAGCTACCACCTCAAGCAGTGTGCAATAGAAGGAGATGATGTCCTTGTACCCTTTGTTTCATTAACTCCTTCAGTGGATTGGACAATCCCCGACACAGTGGGGAAGGTAAACCACTTTATTGAGTCCATAGATTCAAATGCTCATGTCACTGTGAGATGCTTCCAGAAACTATGTTTAATCTGGATAACTTATGGCCCATAAAATTAACCATAATAAACATGCAAAGTAATCTTTATGTATGGACATTATTCTGATCTGATTCAAATTAACTGTAAAAAATAAATAAGAATAATATCTATGCAAGGATTGGAAATTTAAATACTGAATATATTTATTGATAGATTGTTGCTTTTTAAGTGTAATGTTACTGTGATTTTAATTTTTATTAATTTTTTATTTTCTTTTATTTATTTTTGTATTTTAGGGAAGGGTCTACAGGGTGTACAGGGTCTCACTACTAGATCGGACTTGTAGTGATCCACCCATTTACAGCCTCCCAAGAGCTGGGATTACAGGCACATGCCACCATGCCCAGTCTCAATTGCCTTCTCAGCTTGCCCTAGGGGCAGGACCAGCACTGCAGGCCTGGGGATCAAACCTCTGGCCCCTGCACCTGCTTATAGGCACTTTAATCCACTGAGATATTTTACCAGCCCGTGGTAATAATTTTTAAAAGCCCTTGTCCACTAGAGATCAATGCTAAAAACAATATTGCCAAATGATTTGATGTCATCTGAGATCTGACGTCATCAGGGAATTGCCTTAAAAGAATGTAGTAGGTTAGTAGGAAGGGGGAAGGACTTAGAGTAAACAAGATATGTTTGAGCTCATTTTTTAAGCGAAGTGATATCTACATATGAGTTCCCGATACTCTTATTTCTGCTGTTCTTTTTTTCGTATATTTTAATTTTCCCACACGACTATATTACTTTCTTTTCTTTTCTTTTCTTTTCTTTTCTTTTCTTTTCTTTTCTTTCTTTCTTTCTTTCTTTCTTTCTTTCTTTCTTTCTTTCCTTCTTTATCTTTTGAGACAGGATCTTGCTATTCAGTTCAGGCTGAACTTAAGCTCACTTTGTAGGCCAGAACTTGCAGTAATCCTCCTGCCTCTGCCTCCCAAGTGCTGGCCTTATAGGCATGCAGCACCACAGCCAGCTCATTTCACTGAGGCACAGCTCCAGGAGAGTCTCTGCTCTGCGGGCAGATCATGCTTGATAACTGAGCTCCCCCTGCCGAGGCTGTTCCCAGTGTTTGCTGCGGAGATGCAACCCCCGTGGGGGCTGTGAGGACCAAAGCTGAGAGGCAGGGCTCGTTCTACATTGCACCGGACTTGGGGTAGGGAGTGGCTGCCATCACCCCGAGGATATGATTGTTATCAAAATCAAGCAAAGCAATTAGGACAACTATTGCAAGTTCTTCTACTCTGCAAACAAATTTTGCTTTCTGTGTTCAAAGAATACTTTTGTGGGGGAGTTAAATCTCAAACATTTTAGAAAAAATTACTAAATCCTGCTGAAGAAGAAATCAAAATAAAGAACTCAAAAATGATTTTCTCATATTATAAAATCGCTGCCACTAACCATAAAGTGGTTGCTATGATTTGAAAGCTGAATAAAAGAATTTAAGGTAATTGTTGGAAACGAAGATATATTAAGTTTAAAAAAAAAAAGTGTAATTTTAACCTGGAACTAAAACTCCATCTTAATGAAAAACCAGATAAGTAAAGGGAAAGAGAGGGAAAAAATGAAGGAGAAAAGGGCTGGTAGTATAGCTCAGCGGACTAAGTGCTATAAGCACAAGGGCCAGGGTTCGATCCCTGGCACTGCATGCCACGCTAGTGCCAGCCCTGCCCCCAAGTGGGGCGGTTAGCCCACGATGGAGTCTGGGTGCGGTGGCACATGCCTGTAATGCCAGCACTAGGAAGGCAGAAGTCAGGAGGATCGCTATGAGTCTGAGCTGTATAGTGGGACCCTGCACACACACACACAAAAAAAAAAAAAAAAAAAATACTTAAAGATAAAACTTAAGGGCTCAATCTATAGCTCAGCGGCATAAGCACCTGCCTGGCAAGCACAAGGTACACATACATATATACATACATTCATACATACATACATACACATTAAAGAAGGAAAGCTGTTTTTCAAAAGGCAGGCAAATAAATTTTAGAAAGACTTTACCAAAAATATTTGTAATTTTAAATGCATGGATCCTTAATAAGACAAGTTTATGTTTAATAGGTATGCTGTTGAAAAAAATCTGTCCTTATATTCTTTGATGTGCCTCTCAAGTATTGCAAGATAAAAACAATTACAAATATTTTTTATGATACATTAAGAAAATATAGCTCTTGGGCTTTTCTCTTCTGTCCTTTGTCAGCATTTGCTAAAGATTGTACTTGGTTGTCATTTAAAATAGAAGATAATGCAAAATCTGAACCTTCATTGCAGTAGTTTTCCAAGGATGAATTTTCTCAAAGATGAATTTTAAAGTAATTTGTTTGGGATGTTTTGTTTGTTTGTATATTTAGTATAGGGTCTACAGGGTCTCACTACACAGATCGAATTGTAGTTATCCTCCTGTTTTCAGCCTTCCAAGCACTGGGATTACAGGCGTGCGCCACCACGTCCAGTCTCAGTCACAGTCTCAGCGCACCCTGGGGGCAGGGCCGGCACGGCATGGGTGCCTGGGATTGAACACTGGTACCTGTGTCTTGCCTAAGCAGGCACTTTAGTCCACTGAGTTATCTGGCCGGCCCGGAAGTAATTTGATAAAAATGTTTTTCAAAGTCTAACTCTGCTCCTTATCCTATATTCATTTATTTATTTAGCACTTAATGCTGAAGTACTCAAGTCTGTAGCTGAGAAGACTTTGCCTTCTCTATGTTTCTATTATATAACTATGGTCTTATCAACAACCTTTCTCCTTTGATTCACAGGGGAACAGGGAGTGTGTCTGTCAGGCAGATGGAAGGTGGAGCGGAGGGGTAGCGACATGCAAAGGTAAGTTAAGTAACAGTGATCAGGACAGTGATTCTGGGGACACAAAATAACAGTGTCATTGCATTTTATTTACATATCAGTTTTGCAGTTCTTTACTTAAAAAATTATTTTATCCATGCACAAATTCTAGCCTTTTTTGTTAATTTTCTCTATGCTGGGGCTGGAGGCCCTGAGGCTGCATGCCTACTTAGGAAAGCACTCTACCACTGAGCTACAACTCCCAGTCCTGGATTTTTGTTTGTTTGTTTTTAATTACAAAACCAACTCAAGAAACTGTATGACAAGGTTGGATAAGCTTTTGTTCAAGAACACCAAACCAATAAAAGGACCAAACACTGCAGTGAGATTAATGATTAATGGGAATACTGCCCAGATTCCTCACTCTGGGATGGCAAACATTTTGTTTAGAAACCAGATAATCATTGTGGTTATTTACATGTTTGTGGGATTTCTCCCCAAATAAGTACAAATTAAAAGGCCTAGGGCTGTTTTCTTCATGGCAGTATCAGAAAATTCTGACATCTTAAGTGCTGATGGAAAATCTATTAAATAAAAACATAATCCTGTTTATATGGAAAGGTGTATATTTCTAAGGGCTGAGAATCAAACACAGGCCCTCACAGTCACTAGACAAACACTCTGCCACTTATATGTAGCTTATTATTTCCCATGATTTATCTTTTTATCTATTTCTTTTTGGCTGGTTCAGCCCACCCTATAGGCAGGGCTGGCACAGCCTGTGGTGCCAGGGATAGAACACCGGTCCCCTGACTGCCTAAGCTTGCCTAAGCAGGCACTTTAGACTGCTGAGCTATTTCGCTGGCCCTTTTAATTTTTTTTTCTAAATTATTACAGTCATGTAAGATAATTTCCGGAAACTAGAGAGCAGAAGTAGACATTCTAATAAGATCCCTAGATAGTGATCTTGCAACATTGCAGATTATGAAGCATCACATTAGGCCTTTAAATTTTAGCTTTAAGCAGAGTGGAATATCCTAGGGAGTTCTGAAAAGTCCCAACGCCCAGGCTGAACCTTGTGCCAGTTAAATCTCTAAAGGTAGAAACCTGCATATGTATCTTTGTAGAGTTCTCCAGGGAACGATGAAGTACAGCTAAGATTAAGGTCCATCGTCTCAGTGCATGCAAAAATCAATAGGCTGAAAGAAATTCAAAGAGATCAGCGAGCATCTGATCCAAAGGCCCTCCGTTCTGAGTGGGCATTATAATCAGTTGGGGAGTGTTTAATAAAACACCAGAGCCAGGCCACAACATGGAGATTCTGATTACTTCAGTCCAGTACAGGATCCTGGGTACAAAAGCTTTGCAGAGACTAATTTCAGCTAAAACTGAGGACCATTCATCTAACCCACTTTCTCTGTCTTCACAAATTTTATCAAATTCAAACTCAAATCCACTTTTTAAGATTCTAGACAGGGCAGTCCTGCGTTCCTCCAAGCACATTCCTGGTAATAACATTTCTCATTGACATAAAACCATTTGTCATATTACATTGCAGTCTTCTCAGGATATGAAGTTTACAATGCCCTGAAAAGCCATGGAGAGTGTCTTTCACTCTGTCTTCCCCTGAGCTCGCAGTTCTCTGTTCCTGGTACTTTCTATTATATTTGACTTTCTAGTCTGATTATCATTCCAGTCTCCTTGGAAGCAGCATGACCTTGACTAGATTATTTAACATCACTGAGACTCACTTTTCTGCTATTCACTGGGACAGCCTCAGAGCTACCTAAGTAAGACTGCCAGATTTAGGAGGAAAAAGTACAGGACATTCATTTCAATTTATTTCAGATAAAAACTAATTTTAAAAAATCAATATGTATTTGAAATATATGAAAGCGTATTTATCTGATAAATAACTTTAACTGGATAGCCTATATTTCTATCTGTACTTCCAACCAAGAATTATAAAAAAACGTTTTTGGTATTGAATGGGGAGTTTTTGACCATGGTTGCAGTTTACATGTGAAGTCCTGTATTTCAGCCACCTACCCATCCATACCACCCACTATCCTTAGCATTATTAAGCATTATTAACAATAATATATAGACCTCTGAAGTAAATTGGACAAAATAACAACCTTTAATTGCAAGCACATATGAGCACAACACCTACGTAGGCTATTTTTCTCCAGCAGTGAGAATCATGTCTTGCATACAAGTAGGCCACAGTATTTCATAATATTGTGTAACATTCGCTGTTCGTTATGCATTAAGTCCCTTTCACAGGAGAAGAAAGGGGGATTTGGTGACGCATTTCATAGAAAGATTTCATTCTGCCTTTTAGAGACCAGGTGCGAAGCTCCTTCTGGGTTCCTGAATGGGGCGGCTGACGTGGAAAACACCACAGCAGGACTCAGCGTCATCTACTCCTGCGACAGAGGCTACAGCCTGGAGGGGCCTCCCGTGGCACAGTGCACTGAAAACGGATCGTGGAGCCACCCAGTTCCTCTCTGCAAACGTGTGTGTTGACTTTAGGAAAAGTTTTAATCAGATTGAGCTCCATGATAAGCTTCCCGCGTACAAAGCAGAGGACACTGTTGATCAGAGATTCCCCCAGAGAAGGCAGTCGTGCCCATCAAGCCAAATTTATGGAGTGTTTCTCAAATCCACTTGTATTACCTCAAACGTTCTAGGAGTCCGTTTTTATCAGATTCTCTGGCTAATTACAAGTTCAGAGCACTAGGAAAAAATGCAAATTAACCCATTTATGCGGAAGATTGCATTTTTTGACATTTTGTGTGAAATTAATATGTTACCTAGAAAAATTCAAGGAATAAGAATTTGAAGAAAAATTTTTCTATTTTCCATCGTTATTATGATCATTGCAAAAAATGAAATGTTATACATAAATGTGTTAATGAAAATTAGCTGTGTGTAATAAATTCCATTAAGAATAAGAAAGGATAGAAAAGTAAAAAATAAAAACATGTTCAAAATGTAGTGCCAATATTAGGCCAGGGCAATAGCTCAGTGGTCTTAGCAACTGCCTGGCAAGTGCAAGGACCTGGGTTTGATCCCTGGTAGTGCATGCTGTGCCTGTCCCACACCTTGCTGACTGCTGAAACTGGGTGTGGCGGTGCACACCTGTAATCCTAGTGCTGGGGAGGCTGAAACAGGAGGCTCACTCTGAGTCAAAGCTGCATAGTGAGACTTGTACCAAATAAATAAATTAATTAATTAAAAATATTTTTAAATGTAATGCTAATTAATAAAATACTATGTTAAATAGCGATAGGCATAATCATTTGAATGACAACAGTATTGTCAAGGTAAAGCTGAGAGGGCTCAGCTTCTTAAAGTAAGTGTGTCATAATTCTGTAACTTTTGAAGCTATTTAAAATCAGAAACACTAAAATTATTTGGAATATGCAGTGGTATAGCATCACAAACTTACACTAAGCTAGTCTACCACCATAGCTTCTATGTTTCCTTCAGACCTATAAACACGAATCCATCTTTATCAGAAAGGCTTGCACGCTGTAAATTGAAGTTCTACTGTTCTGCTCAAAGCAGGCTAAGTGAGTAGTCTAAATGGCTCTAATATGAGTCTAAGGTCATATTTTACTCACACAGAAGCATCAGACCATCCTCTGATTCTCTCTTTCTACAAGATGCTAAAGAAAGAAAGTAATTTGATAAAAGAACTTACTATAGGGGGCCAGGGAGATGATAGCTCAGTAGAATAAGCGCTTGCCTGGGAAGTGCAGGGTCCTGAGTTTAATCCCCAGTACTGCAAAAAAAAGAAAGAAAGAAAGAAAGAAAGAAAGAAAGAAAGAAAGAAAGAAAGAAAGAAAGAAAGAAAGAAAGGAAAGGAAAGGAAAAGAAAAGAAAAGAAAAGAAAAGAAAAGAAAAGAAAAGAAAAGAAAAGAAAAGAAAAGAAAAGAACTTACACATTCCTAATATTCTCCAAGCCTAAGGGAATACACCCTTGATTTCTAGTATCTCTTTTGCTGCTTTCATGTTCATAAAAAGAAAATAATGGTTTAGACTATACTTTGGAACAACTATTTACTTTTCCACTTAGGATACGTAGGACCTTCACTAGCGATTGAATAACTTGCTTTCAGATCTGATTTCATCTGTATAAATCATTTCCTGTGGATTCAAAACAAGTCTGTGCTTAACTTTGTGAAGTGGAGGTTGAAACAGGAAGATCACAAGTTTAAGCACAGCCTGAGCCCTTAAGCAACTTAGCATGACCCTGTCTTGAAAAATATAAAAGAAAGTGGGGAACTGGGGATATAGCCCAGTGGGAAGGCTCTGGGTTAAATCCAGAAGGAGGGAGGGAGGGAGAGAGGGAGGGAGGGAGAGAGGGAGGAAGAGAGAGAGAGGAGAAAAGCAAACTTGACATAACTATGTTAAGACTGTCATGATCCTGGAGAAACTGTCTCCTACAGGAGTCTACTCTGCCTTTAAAGAAATGAATCAGAACACAAAAAAGGAGACATAAGAATAAACATTTTCTTTTCTTTTCAACAGCAAACCCATGTCCAGTCCCTTTTGTGATTCCTGAGAACGCTGTGCTTTCTGAAAAGGAGTTTTACGTTGGTCAGAATGTGTCTATCCGATGTAGAGAAGGCTTTCTACTCAAGGGCCAAGGGGTCATTACCTGCAGCCCTGATGAGACGTGGACACAGACCAGTGCCAGATGTGAAAGTGAGTGGAAATGTTTTCTCATGTTTGTGAGATTTTTTTTCCAATAATTAATTGTAGGTATTTAGATTTTTGCACTCTCATAGTTATCATCTTCTTCACTAGTGATATTTAAAATAATTTTAAAAGAACTTTAAATATCAAACATTTTAAGTGCATAACAAGAGCCCTTGAGTTCAATTCCCAGTACAATTAAAAAAAAAAAAATCCTTCCCAGAATTAAGCTAAAACTTACCTGAAGAGGATTCACCAAGCAGCTTTTCAAAGTGTGATCTTCTAAGAACAAGCAAGAAACTAAATTGAAAGTACACATTTTTCCCACTTTCTTAGAACCTTCAAACCATCCTATAATAGGCTACAAGTCCTCTGTGGATACAAAAGTTATTTTGAGGCTCTTAAACTTGAGCATATTTAACATCCTAGAGAGTTTTGTAAAGAGCAAATCGCTGGGGGCTCAGCCTGGGAGTTTCTGACACTCAGAGTCTGGGAGTTTTAACAAACTCCTGGGTGGCTGCTCTAAGATCCACAATTTCAGAACCACTTCACCAGCATTGTGTTGATTGATCCAGGCTATAATATTCCACTCCATGTCTGACAATTGTTCTTGCTACCTTGTGATGATTTGTGGAATATCTTCACGTGCACTTCCTACTGCCTCCTTAAACATCTCCCAGTCCAGCTTCACACCCTCTAGCTTCCTTTCACTATCCTCTCAACAGCAATCATTAAAAATGTCTATAGTGTAGCCCCATGCAAGACACTGTGCTACATAGCGTAGGACCAGTATGTTCCATCCATCATGGTGTCCATCCTAAGAACATCCTCACTCCATCTAATGAGTTTAGAACTGTGAGTGTGAAGATCTGGCTTTGAATCCTGTCCTCAAAGATTTTTAACTCTCAGTCCGGGGAGATAGCTCAGCGGCATATGCCAATCTCTGGTACCAAAAACAAACAAACAAATAAGTAAATAAATAAATGTTCTCCACTTATATTAGTTCCTTACTTTTTTTCTGAGTTTCATTTGTTAATAGTACCAATAATACCTATCCTATAGGTTTGTAATCAAAAAGAGATAAATTGTTGTCTATCCCCATCTCTAGGTGAGAGATACCCATTAGTCTAAACCCCAGAATTCTGAACTACCAGCCCTACTTTAGGATTTGAAAGTTGAATTTTCTTCCAGATAAATGAAGACTATAATTTTAGGTGAGAATTGGGTTCCAACTACTTAGGAAATCGACCATGGATGCAATGGGAAGAATTAAGTGTACCTCTTTGGCCTGCAGTCTAGCCCAGAGCTGGCAGCCTGAAGGGGAACAGGCCAAGGGACTCATTCTGCCCACACATCCCCACGCTGGCCTTGGCTTCCAGAGATTCACCATTCAGGCCACAGAGGAAAGGAGTAAGGCGGGACGTGCACTTGTTACAAATGTTCCTTCCATGCAGGCTTAATTATTCTACAGTGTTCTTGAGAGGGTCGGGGATTGCCTTGGAGAGGAGACAGTTTTGTTGTTGCTTGCTATTTTCAATCCATTGCTATCAAAATGGGAAGTCTGCCTTAAACCAAATAGTCTTCCTTCTCCTAATCAGCAACCTTCTTGTTCCTAATCACCTGCCCTTGACATTTATCTCCACCAATCAAAGAGTAAAATGTGATATGTATGATATTCACCCCGGGACAGCATGTAGAATACAGATTCCTAAGCCAAGAAGCTCAGCAATGTACACTTTTAATGAGAACCTCAAATGATTCTAGTAGAGGTGCAATGAAATCCAGGCTTTTTGATTTTCAAACTACTACAAGCTAAACTTCAGCTCACCATGAGCTCCCCAAGCTGGAGCTTCTTATCCCCTGAACCACCCAGGCTACTGGGCACCCTGTAGCCTGCCCAGTCCAAATGCCACTGATGCTGCACGTCAGCCCTTGGTGACCTGCAGCATAGATCTGTCCATGCCATGTCCCTACTGTGGTGTCCATTCCTGCACTCCGGGCAGCTTAGCTTAGACTGCAACGTGGTACTTCTTTGTCTATATTTCCCTAAGTCTCTGAGCAAAAAATCAGCATTTTCCTCATTCACTTCTTTTCAGTTTCTGAAACATAGTAGACATCTTGTCCCACTTGAAAATTTAGAAAGAGTATACAAGTTGATCATTCCTTTACCAGGTTTTAATAGTATTATGACAAGGTGATGTTTTAGAACCCAGGTTAGGAAGACTTCATCCAAAAATTAGACTTACACCAATGGAAACTGACTAGGTTCCTCACTCCAGTCCAGCGAGAATGCCTTGTGATCTGTCCCAGCATATGCTAGTTATTGCAAGCCTTCTTATAAGATCTTAAAACAAAATTCATCACACAAATTTTTGTTTAAACATGAAGCATGCATCTAACAATCCTAAACAATAGGATTTTTATTCAATTTAACAGATAGCAAAAGTAGAACACTATTTCACAGTACTACAAAGGAGGCAACTAATGAGAAACTGAATCTTAGCAGCCTTATCCACAGACTATAGGCAGTATCTATTCATTTACTCTTTTTCCAAATATCCATCAAACTTTAACTGTGCACCAGGCACTGTTCCAGGACCAGCAGAAATATTCCCAGGGGATATACGGTACTGTTATTCATGACCTGTACTCCGGAATGATAGAACAGTCCTCTTGCTTTTCCTCATCCAGCTTGATAAAAGCATCCTACATTGACAATGTCCTGCAGCCACCTCTCAGGTGACATACACGAGCTCATTTTTGATCTCCTACAATCTTTGTTCCTTGAGATTAAAGTAGCTCAGCTTCACTATTTAGACCAGAGGGCAAAAATCCTTTGATCTTGCAGATCTAGTTGTTCTAAACACGGCCAATTACTCTCCTGGTTCCCAGCTTTCTAGCCAGTAATACTTCCTTTAATGTATTTTATCTTGCTTTCTAAATTAATTCAGCTTTAGCAAGATCATGTACTCAGTCTGGATTAGTAGCACAGGCTTAATTTCTTTGTCATCTGTTCTTCCTATAGAAATCTCATGTGGCCCACCGACTCATGTAGAAAATGCAATTGCTCGAGGTATTTATTATCAATATGGGGACATGATCACCTACTCCTGTTACAGTGGGTACATGCTGGAAGGCTCCCTAAGGAGCGTTTGCCTAGAAAATGGAACATGGACATCACCCCCTATCTGCAGAGGTAAGGAAATACCTCAGGGGTTGCTTCTTAGTGAAGCTACAGGGAAATGTACACAAAAGTCCAATAAATAAGCAATCAATATGCGTCAGATTTTCACTACTTTGGTTATCCTTGGATTAAAATTTTCTTTTCACAATTATCATCTTGCTTAACTTTATTGTTTGCTTCAAAAGCCTACACATGAAACTCTTAGCTTTTATGCTTGAAATTATGCAAAAATGAAAAAGTAATCAGATATCCAAGTACATCTTTCTAAAATTTACACTTTTCTATCTAATAAAATATTATTTTTAAATTTTGAGAATTATTTTCATTCGTTTTATAAATATATACTTCCAGTCAAGAACTGTGCTGGTGAGAAAGACAATCATAACAGAGAAACTAAAACAATCAAGTTGGTCGGGGTTTGTCCACGTGGGCAACGGTCAGATTTGGGTTTGGGGTGAGAATGTGAGAGACTTTAATAAATTGTAGATGTGGTGGGATGGGGCAATTGTGGAAATCAATAGCTGGATGACACGAGCTCAAAAAAGGAAACTTGCTATAGGAGAAAAGAGCCATTAATTACTTGGGATCCAGGTAAGAACAAGAAATGACCTTACTGGGCCGCAGTGACAACTCACTGGTCTAAGTGCCTGCCTCGGCAAGTGCAAGGACCCAGGTTTGATCCCCGGTACTGCATGCTGTGCTTGCCCTGCCCCAGGCATACCAAGCCAACTGGTTGTGGTGGCACACGCCTGTAATCCCAGTGCTAAGGAGGCTGAAACAGGAGGATCACTACGAGTCTGAGCTGCATAATGAGACCCTGTACCAAATACATAAACTTTAAAAAAGGAGAAACAAATGACCTTACTGACCCCATGGGGATGGCATGTGCTGCCTGCTCTTGAGAGGGCTATGCTGAGTGGCAGCCTTCACAGAGCAGCCCAAGCTTCCTTCCTTCCTTTTCACAAGCAGCCCAAGTCCTAGATCAACACAAATGTTGTGAGCCTACTCGCTCATTTCCCCACTTATTCATTTTAAGATACTTGAATATTTTTAAATCCTCAGCAAAGAGCATTTCCCCTCTCTCCATTGAGAGCTCCCTACACCATTTTGTCCCCTCCTATCCCAAATCCTCCAAATAACTAAACTTTGCTAGCCGCACTTCCAGAACTGCCTAAGCATTTTCGCATCTCTCTTGAGCCCATCATGTTCACCTGCAAGCCTGGAACTGCGGGACTAGTTCTGCAGTGATTCCTCATGGGGGCGGGGAGGCTCTGGTCTTCACTGGTTTGATAAGCGTGAATTGAATAGCTATTCTAAGCCAAGACATCAGCCAGGCTCTGTGGGAGTTTGTCCTTCAAAGAGCTCATGTCTGCTAGAGGAAAGGGACAAATGGCACCAAAAAGTAAATAAAGATATTATGTGTTAGCATCACAGAGATGAGAGCCTGTCCCCTGTGGATAAAGCTGACCGTCCCTCATATGGGGAGTGGAAACACTTGGGAAGGCTTAGCAGGGAATGTTAAGACTGGTGTTGGGTCTTAAAGATGCTATCCAGGGAGGGAAAGGAGGGGCATTCTGAACAGAGGCAGAGGGAAGCAGAGAATGGACTTATTGATTGGTGCTCTGCATTTTTTCTTTATAAGAAGATAAGCATTTTCCATGTTTTTAAAATCAGAATATATGTGAATACATATTTTATATCTGTCTGTCTGTGTCTCTCTCTTTTCTCTAGATAGATAGATAGATAGATAGATAGATAGATAGATAGATAGATGCCAGAAAAATATATTGGGGCTTGCTGTACTTTCCTTTGTATAAAAAGGTGTTGTGTATATTTAAGATATATGATATTATAGAGAGAGATAACAAAAATGGTTACCGGTTTTGAACCCAATTAACAGTACCATGTTGGAGAGATAGCTTGGTGGTCTAAGCACCTGCCTGGCAAGTACAAGAACCCAGTACTATATGCCATGCTGGCCCAGGGACCCCAGGTGCACCGTTCTGGCCGCCAAAACCAGGTGTGGTGGTGCATGCCTGTAATCCCAGTGCTGGGGAGGCTGAGACAGGAGGATTACTATAGCTCAAGCTGCATAGTTATTAAACACTGCACAAATAAATAACAAATTAATAATATCTATCATCACACATAGTTACTTTCTCTCATAGCAGGAGCACCTCAAGATCTATTCATCTGGGCCAAAGCTAAAATATAACACAGTCTATGGTCCTCCTACTTAACATTAGATCTCTAAGCTTGTTCATCCTACCCATCTGCTACTCTATATCTTTTAACCTGCACCTTCCCAGGCTGTCCTCCTAGAGAACTATGTGGAGGGGAAGTCCAGGGAAGGGACTCTGAGCAACACTATCATTTTCCTGTCAGGGACATGAGAAGGAGGATCCAGCAAAGTGAGAGAAAATCCAAAGGGACTGGTGCCCCAGAGTGCAGAGGAGGAGATATTTTTAAAATGAAGATCAGTGACCAACCATGGCTAATGCTCAGGAAGATCCAATAGGAGAGAAACTAAAGCACAGGCACTCGGTAGCTCAGTTAGCAAGATGAGAGTGAGGCCGACTGGCGTTGCTTAAGGATGTGCGGACAGCTGAAGCCAGATGACCACAGTCTGAAGACAAGGAGGAGTCTAGTAAAATCAAGGACAAGCCACTCTTCAGAGCCTGAAGGAAAAGGGGGAAAGTAGTAATTCAGTGTCATTAGACTGTGAGACGAACTAGTTGAATTGCACATATAAATATGGGGTTATTTGGAGACAAGTGTGAAGTGAGGGAGTTCTTTAAAAGAGAGAAGATACTGAAGGGCTGGATATGGTGACTCACACCTGTAATTCCCAGTTATGGAAGGCTGAGACAGGAGGATATGTGAGAGTTTGAGGCTAGTGTGGACTCTATAGTGAGTTCAGGGTGACTGTGAAGTAGATCTCAGATATATACAATTTTTATGTATATGTTACACCTCAGTAGAGCCGGGTCAGCTGCAATGGTAATAGCTCATGTGTACTTTTCTGAGTATGCTTCTCTAGATACTGACATTTCCTTCTGAGATTTTATTCCACGTGTCTTCCTTGAAGTTGACTCAAGGACAAGTCATAAACTGTAAACGAGCAGGCTTCCTTCTGACACCCACCCTTGCAGAATTCCCCATGTTTATGACCCTTCCTGCTTCCTTTCCAGCTGTCTGTCGATTCCCGTGTCAAAATGGAGGTGTCTGCCAACGCCCCAACGCTTGCTCCTGCCCAGATGGCTGGATGGGCCGTCTCTGTGAGGAACGTAAGTCTGTCCCCTAGTCTTACTCTGGGTCCTGATAATCTGCCTAGGAACTGGCTTCACGGTCAGGAAGAATTTGTTGACTTAAATCTTGGAAGTACACCAGAGTGCACAGGACTGATCGAAAATGTTAATGGGTTGCAGAAGACCTGGAATATTAACCTTGAAAGTGCAGTTGTCCACAGCCTCCTGAGGTAATCTTCACATGCCCCCTGGCCTGCGATTACAAATCCTCTTAGGACAGAGCTCACAAGAGAGTCCTGCAGGCCTCTTCTTCCCTCAGCTCAGGCCAGCTATGTACTCTGCCAGCCACTGTTCACTCAGTATAAGTACATGGCCTTGGCTGGCATTGAACTTTGAAGGGGATGTTTGCCATCCACCACTGTGTCATTAGTACCAGTTCCTTCTAATTAAGTATGTGAGGAGTTGGGCCTGGTGACGCATGGCTGTAAATCAAATTTGTGTCCAGCCTGGGCAATTTAGCAACTTAATAAGACACTATCTCAAACTAAAAATTAAAATTAAAAAACTGGTCATGAAGCCCAGGACAAAGGTCCAGAGTTTAATTCCTAGTGCAGGGTAGGGACAAGGATGTAGCTATCATAAGTCCTTTTGCTCAGCACTGGGACAAAATACCTGACACCCGCAACTTAAAGGAGCAACTTGTTTGATCCCTAGTACCAATAAAATAAAATAAAGGAGCAAAGCTTTCTTTTAGTTTGCATTTCAGAAGTTTCAGTCCCTGCCCAGTCAGTGGCACGGTGGAAGGACCTAGGCCGCTCATGTCATGGAGAACAGAAAGCAAAGACTGAAAGGAGAAAGCAGGGAGGCAGATACGACCCTTCCAGGTCCCACCTCCAGGAGCCCCTCTCTTCTGTCCAGGCCCCACTTCCCCACACCAAGCCAACTGTGGCACCTCAATAATCCAACAGCCTCCCATAACACCCTCCTCTGGATATGAAGGAAAATCTAGATATAAATTGCAACATAAGGAAAGTGCTACTTCTGATCTGGACAGTATTTGGTAAAAGAATGCAGAATTTTGATCCCTATAAAAATATGTTGAACTCCAGCTTCTAAAGGACTATAAATAATAACTTTAAATTTTTAAATTGTACCACTTCCGTATCTTAATAGGGAAAGACAAAATTTTCAGATTTCATTGGGAGTAATACGTGTAACTCATGGTGGAATTAATGTGATGGCTATTGGTCTAGTTTTTTTTCCTGAAAGGTAGGTATTTTATGATGCTCTCAAACTTGTTAGGCATGACCTAATCTATAAAGGAAATTGTATATAGAAATAAACTTAGGCTTCTAATTACGCATTAGAGCAAGTATTCCCACAATGATTAAGAGAGAAGAAAAGTCGCATATTTCCTCCCCCTTCTCCTCAGCCTTTTTACCTGGAGATCTGAGGCTTAAGCTGTTAGAAAGCCAAGACTCCAAAGGCTCCAGAATATTTACTCTGGACTGTTCCACCTGTAGGCCTGGCCTAACATGGGCCTGCACGCCTACAAAGAGCAGGCCTTGCCAGGGTGCCATGGAAGTGCACATTCGCTGAGAGACGCTACTGTGCTTCAGATCCAGAAGAGCTGGGCTGGGATCTCAGATTCTCCATTTCTAGCTAGCTCCCTGTTAATGCCAGTTTTGCTGGATAGAAAGAGAGCGTGCCACACTCTGAGTGTAATAAAGCAATAAACGATCCCACACCTTTTAAACAAATTCTTCCTCCTTGAGTAGGGGGGATGATTACTCTGCATGGGATAGGAGACATATATTTTCATCAGCCCACAGTTCCTTGGAAATGCAGGGTGTGGTGTTCTATTGCTACATAATAGTTGCAAATGCTTTTGTTGTCCCCTTACTTGCAGGACGGCCCATCAGATTCCCATCTCACATTTATTACAAGAATACAGCCTCCAGAGAGCCAAACCCTGCTAGAGCAGTTTACATAATTTGTAATGGAATCTTGAAATGATAATAAAAGCAGACCATACCCTTATTTTGAGAAGAGCTGAAGTGAAGCACTTAGCAAATATCGATTCCCATGTCCTCACTGCAAGAGTGCATTTGGCATTACAGTCTGTACATCTGGCGAAGCATCCAGACTTAATTTCCTGGGTGTGTTTTCCCAGTGATACTCATTAATAAGCAGAATGTATGGGGGAAGATTCTCTGCAGGGTCATGCAAGGTTTTGTTCTTCTTCCTAAAAGAAAAAAAAAATGTGAGCACTTCAAATGCTTGAGCATGTGTATTTTGATCATATAACTTTCACTAACTTCGCTTTTTCAGCAATCTGCATTCTCCCTTGTCTGAACGGTGGTCGTTGTGTGGCCCCTTACCAGTGTGACTGTCCACATGGGTGGACTGGGGCCCGCTGTCACACAGGTAGGCTTCCTCTCATGGTGGGTTTTCTTGGTGCCTTGTCCCGCAAAGCACCAAGGGACATGGACGACTACAACTCAGTCTCAGAGGAGATGGCAAAGCAGGAAGGTGTCAAAGACACCCACGGATTTTTCAAGAGGGCCCATTGGATGGTCCTGTGGGGGGTGATGACCTCAACAGTAGAGTGGAGCAAGGGCATGTGCCAAAGAGTGGCCTGTGGACTGGTGTGTGGCTCCATGGTAGAGCACCTGCCTAGCAAGTGTGAGCCCTTGCATTCATTCCTCAGCACTGAAAAAGAAAAGGCACTAAAATACAGAAAATACCATCTATGTTGACACTTTTACAGTATGTTGTTGTATGTTATGAGTTGGTGCCAAAAGAAACAACAAGAAGACCCGATGAATACACCTTCAGAGGTGTCACTGAGATTAGTCTCTCTTGAAGTGAGCCCAGAGCCACAGAAGCATCTCACATTTATTGAGGGCTAAAGGCAGGCTAAGGAATGTGCATAATTACTTTGGTGAACACAAACTACTATCTCTATGGACTTCCACCATTGTCTAACTCTAGGTCCACACAAATGCTAGCTCATAACATCCCAAGCAAGGGATCAAAGAACAGACAAGGAGCCAGCAGGAGAAGCTGTTATCTGCAGCTGTGAATCCCAGCTTGCAGGGATTTACAAGTGAGAGACAACAGTTCTTGGGCTCCGTGTATTGCTCCTTGTTCCCTGGGGTCATTAGGCTTTTGTCTCATATCTATATTTCTATAGTATGTAGAGAGATGTAGAAGTTCAGATGAAGACGTCATCCCTATGAAGCTGAACTACTAAATCCATTGTTACATTTTACAAAGAACAAGGCTAAAATAAAGGCAGGTTTAGTCAAGGGAGGGAAGAGAATATCACTAGAGAAATGGATCCTCTCAGGTTGCTCAGAATGATGGCATCTCAAACCCGAGTTTACCACCCATAGTTTTTGTCTGGTATTGACCTGCAAGTTTTTCTTGACCTCCCCTTGTTCCTTACATGTAGGCTCAATCTTTTCAGTGCTCAGGTTACTGTTTTCAGCAGCAGCAAGGAAAACAACTTCATAGTAGTCAGAATGTTATCCTAATGTGTATTACTTGCTTTATTGTAAATAATGGTGAGCAGTGGTCAAAAATTAATTTTATATTCCTTTAAAAAGAAAAAACAAAAAAAAAAAAAAAAAAAGGCCGGCGAGATAGTTCAGCAGAGTAAGTGCATGCTTAGGCAAGTGCAAGGACCATAGTTCAAACTTCGGCACCACATGCCGTGCAGACCTGCCCCCAGGCATGCTGAGCTGGCCACTGAGACAAGTGTGGTGTCACACACCTGTAATTCCAGCACTGGGGAGGCCGAAAACAGGAGGATCACTACATGTCCAAGCTGCATAGTAAGACCCTGTACTAAATACAGAGAGAGAGAGAGAGAGAGAGAGAGAGAGAGAGAGAGAGAGAGAGAGAGAGAGATCCTCACTGTGGACAACAGCGCAAAGTATGTTGATTGATTAGTATAAAAGCCCAACCTTTATTTTCTTCAAGTATAATATTTAACCCACTATTTGTGGACATCTGTTTAATTGCCTGATATCTAGGTATACCCCTGTGAGATTATACACCACTTTTGAGTGGAGCTGTTCTTTCACCTTTATATCCCTGATGCCTAGCACAGACCTGACTGTATTAGGTTTTTCACTTAAGTGTCATATAAGTCAATTTAAAATGATAGATTTTTTTCTTTTACCTTTGTAATGTCCTAAAACTTGAAACAACCTGTAAACAACTCATAAATTTCTTTGTTTCTTTAGTATGAACCCTAACACCCCACCATTTCTCTGTTAAAATGTGTAGGCCACCTCGTACAATGAGTTTGCTCCCAGTATGCTTCTAAGGCCGGGGTGACCATGTGACTCACCTTCCACACCAGGTTATATTTTGAGCACGAAAAAGGCACTGTTATTAAGTAAATTAGGGAAATAGGAATGAAAAATACTGTGTCACAGGCAAAATCAGATATGCAGTCACTAGCTAATGTACCAACTTTTGGCAGTCCATGAATATTAAGAAGAAAAACATCCTAGGAGCTAAATTAGAAACATTTTTTTGGGCATTTCACAAAAAATTTATATAATATTTGCTTATAACAAGTCAACTTTTGTGTTTTTCTTCATTTCTCCTGTACCCAAAATTGAGCTTCTATGCAAACCGTCCCCTACCTTTGCTGGGCACAGCATCACTAGAGGTGGTCCTGCTGTCTTGTTCGATGAATGAGTCTCTCTCGACTCTTTCTCCTTCCTTTCACACCACCTCTCTCTGCTCTTCCTGGGCAGTATCTCCTGCATCTTGCTTTATACTATGGTCACCAGTCAGTAAAAGGCAGTTCTCTCGCTCATCTCAGCATCTGCTGAGTGACTTCACTGACTCCATTTTCAGTCTCAGCGCCATTGTCTACTCCTTTGGGTGTTCTTTGGTGAAGGTACCTGTGATGGCTGTGCAAGGACCCTGCAGCCATGTGAGGGCTGACAGCCACGGTGCTGGTGCTGCACAGATGGCTTCAGCATCGGGAAGACCCAGCCCGCTTCCCATCTGTCACCCCCCCCCACAGTGGTGGCTTCCTCGGGACCCCCAAGGCCCCCTTCTACCGAGAAAGAACCCCCTCCTATCTCTTGGAATTTGCTCCTGACTCCCTCCTATTTCACCTTCTATAAACTTACTCAACTTCCAAAGGCCTAAATTTCCCTTTATCGCCATACTTTTTTTATATCATAACACAATAATTTTCTAACAATTTCTGTAGCTGTTAACAATTAGTTAGAATCATTCAGTTTAAAACACCATTGATGTGATTTATTTTACATTTTTTAGACTTCTGATTAGAGTAAGTTCCCAATGTCACAGGGCAATATAGTCTCCTTTCTATGAATCTGGCACCAACACCTGAGTATATGTTCTACTTAGACCTCCTAAGACCTAAGTCCACAAAAGGATATAAAACAGCAGCTCTCCCCCTCTAGAATTTTAATCTAGAAAAGAGGAGAGGCAGGATGGCTTGTAAATACAAAACTAGCAAATATTCTTTTTTTTTTTCTTTTTCTTTGTTTGTTGTTGTTGTTGTTGTTGTTGTTTATTTGTTTTTTTTGTGGAACTGGAGATTGAACTCAGGCCCTTGTGCTTGCCAGGCAAGCGCTTATTCTATTGAGCCATCTCCCCAGCCCCTTATAACTAGAAAATATTGTTAGAGGTTAGCTGAATTCTATAAAATGATCTATAACTGAAAGTGAGACATGAGCGAGTGCCAGACTTCAGAAAAGACTGCATGACGATAGAATCCAAGGAAGAGCAGGAAGGCTTGCTAGGTGAAGGTCACTCTCGTGGAGGGCACAGCACATGCCACACACAGGCTGGTCAGCCAAGTATGACTGAAAACTGAAGCTACACAGGAAATGTAGAGGCCTGGCTGGAAAACAAGTTGTAAAGACAGACAGCATCAGGCCAGGAAACACAAGTGTGCGAAGTTCAAGATGCTGCATTATGCTTTGTGAGCATCAGGAGCCAGCCTCAAGTGTTCAGCTGGAAAACTATGCGGTCAGATTTTCTTACAGAAAAGTGATTTGCAGCAGTATTGGAAATGGCAGGGAACAAGACAGTGAAGATCAGCTGGGAAGTCACAGAATAGAACAGATAAGAAATGTGTAACAGTCTGGAACAATAGGGGGCCTGCCCATTAGCTCAGTTGTTTAAATGACTGCTTAGGCAAAGCAGTCAAACTCAGGATGCTGTAGTTCCATCCCCAGATCCTCATGCCTTACCAGACCTGCCCTTAAGGCATCCTGAGCCAACCCAAGAAAAAAAACAAAAGAAAGTCCTTCAGTCTGGAACAATGATCATCACTAGAAGGTGGATATGAGTGGTGTTAGTAAGTAGAGTCCACCCACATGGTTACTGTTACAGAGATGAGATCCAAGAGCCATTAAGATTGCTGCCTCTAGCTTCAGCCCAGGGGTGAGAGAGGGTGAGTTAGAGAAGCCAGGAAAAGCAGGGCTGGGGGTCTAGACAAGGAGCTAACGACGTGCGTGTTGAGTCTAAGGGATCTGTGGAACACGCAGGGCCCGTGGTCAATAATGACATTCAAGGAGGGGAAACTGAGACTGCAGAAGATGCACAGCCTGCAGAGGTGGCTCATAGGATGCTGAGAGGACTGAAGGGGATGGGAAGACCTAAGCTTTTAGACTGGAAAGTGAAAATCATGGCTAGTTAATTGATATATGCAGACACCACTAAGCCAAAATGCTTTTGGAAAAGTAAATTTTTCTTTTATCAGTAAGCAGGAACTATGGAAAGTTGATTTTTTTTTTCTTTTACGGGGTTTAATCCTATTTATTTTGTCATTTCTTTTTTTATTAAATTGCAAGTATGTTGGCCTCCTTTCATTTTTAACTTACCAAGAGCACCCCTTAAGGAGAAATATTGGTATTTTACTTTGAGTTCTCTTCACCCCCTGATTATCAGATGTGTGGTCCTTACTTAACAGACACTTCCACAGTATTTCATGAATGACCAACTGAAGAAACAATAGTTACTAATGTCTCCCTTAAGGCGAATTTTTTTTTTTCATTTATGTATTTGGCACATGGTCTCACTACACAGCCCAGACTTATAGTGACCTCCTGTTTTCAGCCTCCCCAGAGCTGGGATTACAGGTGTGAACCACCACGCCCAGACTTGATTGCCAGTTCAGCATGCTCTGGGGGTGGGGCCAGTACAACATGTGGGACCAGGTAGCCAACCCTTGTCCCTGTGCTTGCCTAAGCAGGTGCCAAGTCCACTGAGCTATCTCACCAGCCCCAAAGGGGAATTTTTTAAATGAAGGAAAGAACCTAGTTTTCTATAATGTCATGAGAACAAACTGTTACTTACCGCCCTTCTCCATGCCAGACATTGTTATCTTCTGGTGTAAGGAGTTCTCCTCCTTAATATGTTAAAATCCCTAGCATTAGGTCTTCATTAATTTTTAGCATTCTCAATTTTTTTAACAGATAGATTGATGTAAATGAAGAGTTTGATTATGAGTTGTGGATTTATGAGAAAGGTAGCTATATAGTAAATCTTTGGGTATTCTCTCAGGGTTTCATTTGTGACTAATTTTTAAGCCCATTTCAGGTTCTGCAGTTTCAATTTAAGGTGGTAAAAGCCACAAAATGTCTCCTAGCCAGTACAGAGGGCGTTTGAAGCATCTGATTAGACAATTCATGTACTCGATCACCCTCCAAGCTGGTGTCTGCCTCAATCACCCAATCAATGAATAGTCGTTACCACTAATTCCTGCAAGAGAGTCATAAATTAATTAAGCACATGAAAAAATTATAGTTCCAAACAGTCAAAGTGCCTGACTGGTTACATAAGTAGAGCGATTAAAGAAGATGAAAGTCAGACTTGGAATGATCAGTGAAGCTTGCAGCAAATAGGTAAAACCTATTCTGGCTTCCTAGGAAGCAGAGGAGCTTGGAAGGAAAAAGGGATGTGGACCCAAAGGGGATGTGACCTCACACACACTACCAGAAATTGGTACAAAAGCAGCTGTATGAGGAACAGTGGTGGCTACAGCAGAAAATGGAAACAAATCTAATCCCATGAGCCTTCAGAGCTATTGAGCATTAACTGAATGTATGAATTTTTTTCCCAGCTACTTGCCAGTTTCCCTGTTTAAATGGTGGAAAGTGTGTGAGGCCAAACCGATGCCACTGTCCCTCAGCTTGGACAGGACATGATTGTTCCAGGTAAGACCATCCAAGACTAATGTCCATCTTGCAACACAATTGAAATTCAAGGCAAGTTACATCATGAACCAAGAATGTTTCTAGTTTGAAGGCAAGCATTTCGGGTCTCCAAATCTAAATACACTCTCTAATTTGAACTATAGACAAACCTAGAAATATGAGTTCAGGTTGACAAACAAGACAGTAGAGTCCCAAAAATAAATAGTCTTGAGCTCACTTCAGCAGTATGAATATTAAAATTAGAGCCAGAGAGAATATTAACATGGTCCTTGCTCAAGGATAAACATCACAAGCTTAAAAGAATTGCATCTTTTCACAACTGAAAAAGGAAAAATTCTTAAATAAGTAAACCATCCTGCCTATGCAAAAATGTAAATAATGAACTCAATACATTTTATTGAAAATGGCCTAGTAGATGTTTGAGTTCTTGATTATAATAGATAGTGTTAATATTGATAAATGTTTATTTTTAAAGTCAAATACTGTTTTCTCATATTTTTAATGCTTTTATATATTTCATTGACTACAAAAACATTTATGCAGAAATACATCCCATCAATTAGTTTCTCATTTCTGAGTAGATAAATGTCAGAAAAAAAATATAAGAAAAAGTTCAAGATAAAGTAATTTTAACATCCTTTATACCTTTTATAACCTTTCAGGAAATCTCAGGTATATCATCCTCATAAATGCTGTACATGTGAGACATTATCAGCTCCAGTTTAGGATTTTCATGATGTGTATTACATCATTTCACAAATGGATATTATCATATTCATTTAAAACTAATAAAGTCAGTTAACTAGAAACAACTCTTTTCCATTTGTTGTTTTGTTATTTTGATTGAAATGTCAGAGTCAACTCACTAAAACCAAAAGCCATTACAGTAAGAGTATAATCAAAAGAATCTGTCTTGAGCCATTAGCCATTCCTTGATCATCTCAAGTAAATGCCTTTTCCATAGACAGAAAAGAATTAAATCCTAAAAAGAACTTTGGAATGAGCAAAACTGTTTAGAAGCTACCAAGGACCGATCAGAGCTTCACCTGACAATAAAGTTGAAAGGATTTAAGATAAAGAGAACTAAAAGAAAAAAGGAGGGGAACAAAACAGTGGTTCAAAAAGAACAAAAAGTATAACTTACTTAAACTTTTATATTCAATCACTTATTTTACAGATAATGAAGATCAGAATACACATGGCTCCCAACATCTAAATATTCTGTAGAAGTACATCAGTGACTGGGCAAAGGACAGTTAGGAGATTATATGAATATACTGTTGACTAACAGATAGCAGAACCTATATTTTTATAAAAAAACTTTGATATAGAATCAAGAAAAGTTATGGCAAATTAAATTGAGAAGCATATACCACACTCAAGGAAAGGCTACCTAGCCACCCAGGGGACCAGGCAGGCTCCCCTTCCTTCTTTTAGAAGACAAGGTTAATTAGGACACTCTTGCTAAATCTCTAATCAGTTTAAGCAAAGAAAGGAACTCATCACAAGAGTTCACAAGGAAAGCCAGAAGTGCTTACGGCGCTTGTGCCATCCAGAGACATACTACAATGTCTCAATTTTAAAATCTAGAAAAAAAAAAAAAAAAGCTGGTTGTGGTGGTGCACATCTGGAATTCTAATACTTTGAAAGGCCGAGGCAGGAGGATCACAAATTCAAGCCCAACCTGGACAATTAGCAACTTAATGAGACCTTGTTTTAAAATAGGAAATTTTAAAAGGCTGGAAATGTATCACAGTGCATAGGCCCTGGGTTTAATCCTCAGTACTTCAAAATAAGTAAATAAAATTAAATTTAAAAAGAAACCTGAGAGGATTGGTCCATTACCAACATGCATTGTTGGACTATGGTGTTAAGTTGGATTATGTTATATCAACATGAAGGGTAATTACAGGTCAGAGAGATTGGCATTCCTGATAGAAAAGAAGGTGAACTATAATTCTCTTCAATGGTTGGGGGGAGAAACACTTCCAAGACATTCAAACAATAAATGTTTACAATAATTGTTTTACTTATTTCCCATGAGGCTGAGCTGTATAAAGCATAAAATGTTGTATGCTTAGTACTGGCATAAGGGCCAAACTAGCTTCTATAAATGCTTGCTGACAATGGAGTCATTTTCTCGCATAAGTGACAGCAAATGGTGAAGAAATGTCTTGCGTCCATCACATCCCTCATCCTGTAACTTTCTTTGCTAAATAAGAAGACTGTGTAGTCTTATTCACAGGCAGTTCAGGTCTTAAGAAAGAAAATTTTTCCATTGATCTCTATGTGCATATCTTAATAATCAATTATAAGCAAATTCCATCAATAAAAGTCATGGGTTGTTTGTGCTCTAGGAGACTTTTAGATTCATTAATGCTTCATCTTCCAGATGAGTGAGTTGTCAAGACAGGAAACTGGTGACTGAATCAGGACTAAAACTGCATTTTGATCCATCTTTGATCTTTTCTGTAGTAGCATCTGCACTCCACACCCTTCCTCCTCCCAAGGAATAAACTGCTATCCCTACAAACTTCATCACATGTAATGCCCAGGTGTCTGAGACTTCCAATCCTACTTTTATCAGTCCACAAAAAATCTGTTATCTCCTTGGTTTAGACTTTTTTCTTGAATCTGTTGTGCTTTTTTTTTTTTTTTTTTTTCAGGAAAAGAAGGACTGGGTTTTAAACACTGCGAATACAGCTAGCTGTCTATGCAAGATCATCTCTTCCTGGCAGCACCTCCACCTCCTGCAACTTAACACGAAGGAAATCCAACATGGTGCTGAGGCTTGTTTTGTTTAGTCTACTTGTTATTTGAAGTTTATCTTTTACTTTGTAACATATTTTATTACTCCTGGTGACATCCTTTCTTACATGTTTCCATTTTTAAATATCCCTGTATTTTCTATATAAAATTTATATTAAATAGATGCTGCTCCACCCTCATGAAATGTACATACTCTGCTAACTAATGGGAAAGCTCCTGGAACACAGTTTTATTCAGTTACTTAAAATAATTTTTCCATTAAAATATATTTTGCTACTAAATAACATCTTTCTGGGTAGTGCCATTTTATGAGGTGACCAGAAAAGAATAAAGGGAATTAATGCTCTTTCCTCTATGCTACTGTCACACAGTGTACAGTCACATATAGTATCCCAAGAAATTACTGTGCAATAAAAGAGCCCCTCCTTCTAGGTTGACCTCCTTTATTTAATCAAAGACAAACTGTTGTACCTAGCACTCTCCTCAGAGAATTCCATCCTGGTGTCAAGTGTGATCTGGGTAATTCTTTTCCCAACATTTGGAAAGCGGAAGCCTGTGCTCATCGATATGGTGGGTTCAGCAGGAGGGAGAGAGGATGAGGACATAACATGACCATGCTTTACACACTAGTATGTTCCCCTTCCTTCTCACAACTAGTAGGTGCAGTAGCCAGACAATGAAGAAGGAGTCTATACCTTGCCACACTACACAACTCACTCCCTTGAGAGAAGGGAGAGGCACAGGCCAGGAAAGGCAGAGAAGGAGAAGGAGAAAACCAACTGGGAAGTGCTTACCGGAGGTGTGCTCCTGAGGCCTGCTGTGCACAGAGGCTGGAGTCTGCCCAAGAGGAAGCTTAGCTGCTCCTTGGTCCCCATTGCTTCACACTGTGCTTAGTTCACCATCAAGATTTCCTAGTTTTTGCTTTAAAATAGGAAATTAAGGTTCACCTTGCCTCTCTTCTAAGAGAACTGCAGACTCAGAACACAAACATGGTGGTGGGGGGTCAGAGAGCAGCCCCTTCAGCCCTTGGTCAACTGTGCTCCCTACAGTGGGGGATCTGAGGGTGCTATTCTTGTAGTATCCTCATGAATGTAGGTAGGGTCAAGGCAAGAGTTAGGCAGCACATTGTGCTGCAACAATTAACCAACAATTTTGGTTTGAAAACCAAAAATCAGCTTGTATCCTCACCTCTCACTAGTCGCCAAAACTTTGCCAGCTAAGTGAAATTAGATGGAAAGACTTCAATCATAAAAATTAGAAAACATTGGTATGTTGTGTGTTAATATCTGGAAGAAAACAAGCTCTTTGAGTTGAAAAGGAACACATACAATTAATTTGTATCGTAGTATTATAAATAGTTTATTCTTTTTATGGTTGAATAATATTCCTTAGAATGAATATATACTACACTACATTTTGTTCATTCATGCATCTGTTAATGAACATTTGGGTCATGAACCTCGAAAAGGTTATACTAAGTGAAAGAAGCCAGACACGAAAAGGCATGCATTACAGTATTCCATTTACAGTGTGTCCAGAATAAACAAATTCTATAGGGTCAGACAAATAAACGGTGATGATATGGAGAAAGGATAAGAGTATAGGATTTTTTGGGGAGGAATGATAATATGTTCTGCAGCTAAAGAATAGTGGTGCTTACAGAACTGTGTGAATTTTCTGAAAAAGACTAAGCACCACATTTTACAAATAACTTTAAAATGAAAATTTAAAAAGCCCCAAGAAAGAAGCAAATACATTTGATGACAAAAATGTGGAAAAGTCTGTCACAAGTTGAATTTAACATGAATTAAATTTTTAAATTAAGTAACAAACACATGACAAAATAATGATTTTATAGGACCTTATGATTTAGTAGATATCCATAAGGAAACACTTTGTTCAAGACAGACATATGGACAAGAAATGAACTAAAGAAGAAACACTGATAGAAAATAAACCATCTTACTAATAAAAGAAATGCAAAATAAAATCATCTGAAATTTTGCCTGCCAAATTGGCAAAGTTTTTGGTGGTGGTGATTGTAGTAGTAGACTTTGTCTTAATGCCAGCATGCAGTTGGTTATTAGATAAAATAATTGCATTGAACCTTTGTAGGAAACTACTCCAGCTTTCTTCAGACTGACAAGTACCAAAAAATATTTAAATGTGAATGTAGGAAAAAGTGGAAAGAAAGCTTTTGTAAATGGAGAAGTAGAAGAATGAGAAAAAATAATCAAGATATATCATGTAAAAGTACAAAATCCTTATCATGAATGTGATCATTATGTATACCTAAAATGTACCAATAAAGTTACTTAAAAATAATCACAAATCAGGGCCGGACAAAATCTCAGCAGATTAAAGCACCTACAAGGAGGCTCAGGGGCCAGGGCTTCAATCCCTGGTGCTGCCTTGTCTGCCCCACCCCTGGGGTGCACTTGAGATGGCAATTGAAACTGGGCATGGTGGTGCACACCTGTAATCCCAGCTCTTGGGAGGCTGTAAACAGGTGGATCACTAGAAGTCCAATCTAGTGTTGAGACCCTGAATACCCCATGGAACCTTCCCTAAAATACAAAAAAAAAAAAAAAAAAAAAAAAGCCCATAAATAAATAAATAAATAAATAAATAAATAAATGTGAATGTAGTTCAGTAATCCTCTTATTGAGAATGATCTTATGAAGAAATCTGAATTGGCAATAAATATTTGATCATACATATTATTATTACAGCATTATATATTGTTAAAAGCTAGTAAACAACTTAAATGACTAAAAAAAAACCCTACAGTTGGTTAGTAATTCATTGTTTATTTATGGGATTAAATATTAACAGCTATTAAATATTTTGTGAAGGTATTTACAAAGCATATTAATGACAGATAATATTGCTATGAAATAATGTGCATAATTAAAAACAAAACAAAATGTGTTTATTGTATATTACCAATTGCCTAAAATATATGAATGCAATATACACAGAGATTTATTAAACTTTAATAATAATTTTCCCTAAGACATAAAGCAATGATTGCTTTTGATTCTATGTCAAATTTTCTAGTACTAACTTTTCCAATTAATATATATTACTTTTATATTTGTAATACTTTCAATTCATAAAAAGTAATCATCTTAAAATTAAGTAAAAGTCTTACATTAATATATATGTAAACATGTTTGGCCCCTTTGTCAAAGATAAGGTGACTGAGAAAGACAGCTTCTTCAATAAATGGTGCTTTTCACGTGCTGAAAACTAAGACTAGACCCATATCTATCACTGTGCACTAAACAAAAGTCAAACTGAATTAAAGATTCCAATATTAAAATGTAAACACTAAATCTACTGAAAGAGAAAGTGGGAACAAAATCTTGAAGACATCGGGGTAGGCAGACAGTTCACAAATAAAAACCAAGCTTCACAGGAAATACTTCAAAGAATCAACAACTGGGATCTCATTAAAAAGTTTTTGCACATCAAAAGAATCCGCCAACAGGGTGAAAAGAAAACCCATAAATTGGGAAAACATTTAGTCAGCTGTCCCTCAGACAAAGGGCTTCAATCTAGAATATACTAAATTTTTTTAAAAATCAGGCCACCAAAATTCAAAGACCCAATCCAAAACTGGGCATTCAAAATGAATGCACACTGTTCAGATGAAGAAATACAAATAGCAAATAAATATGTGAAAAAAAAAATTCATCACCATTGGTCATTTGAGAAATGCAAATTAAAGCAACATTGAGATTCTATCACACCCCAGAGTGGCTATCATCAAGAAATCAACCAATAATAAATGCTGGAGTAGTTGTGGGAAAAAAGGAAACCCTTCTCCATTGTTGGTGGGAGTATAGACTGGCACAGCCACTGGAAATCAGGTGGAGATTCCTCAAAAAAACTAGGATTAAAGGTCCCATTTGACCTAACTATTCCTCTTCTGGGTATTTTCCTAGAAGAAATGAAAACATCATACTACAGTGATATATGTGCCCTTGTATTTATAGCAGCGCAATTTGTAATACATAAATTTTGGAAACACCCAAACATCCATCAACCAAAGAACAGATAAGAAAGATGTGTTCTTTTTATAGAACAGAATACTGTTCAGCTATAAAGAAAGACAAACTTAAGGCTTTTATAGGTGAATGGATGTAACTAGAGATCATACTCATAAGTGAAATAATTCATACTCATATGTGTCAGGATCATCTGTTTCCCTAGTGTAAGAACCTGAAAAAGCAATTAAGATCCAAAAAGTATACAATAGACATTGTGAAAGGAGAAGAAACTGCTCAAAAGAAAAGAACAACTTGGATGGGAAGAAAGAGAAAATAAGAAATGGAAAAAATTTGATACTTACATATACATAAGATAGTTAGGATAATTGCATTATTAGTTTCTATTAGTTCATTGAAAAGAAGTTAGTGTTTATATTGTTTGATCAATTTTGCATGCCTATATCTTATAACCTGAGCAACTACTTTGAAGATAACTATATGTAATATAACCATTTTTAATTTTCTGACATCTTATTTTGAACTTTTGTATCATTTGATTAATTTTTTTCTCTTTTAAACTAAAAAAAAAAATTTCACCACATTCATGAAAGTAGCTAAACTTTTTTTTTAAGTGTATAAATAAATACACTTTCTGATTCCCCTTGGCATGTGGTATAAATTTAAGGATCTTGACTATGTTTAATTTTGTTCAAACAGTATTTCAGAGACCTTGAGTTCAGATTGAGATGTCCATTAGCTTAATATGAAAATAAATGGCCAGGGATACAACTCAGCAGCATAAGCGCCTGCCTGGCAAGCACAAGACCCAAAGTTCAATCCCCAGTATTATGAAAAAGAAAATAGCCACTCTGCTACTCAGATAAAATATCATTTAATTTGGAGTCACTTGTGTACAGAGTGAGATAATACTTGCTAATGACCAAATTAAGGTATTAAAAAAAAAGAAGTTCAGGTAGTATGGAAGAGGCCTATGTATCCATCTACAGATGATTAGATAAATATGGTATTTACACGTAATGGACTACCACTCTGCTATAAGGAGGATAAACTTGAAGTCATTTTTAGGAAAATGGATTCACCTTGAGAGCATAATATTAAGGGAAACAAGTCAGACACTCAACTTAAGTATCCCATGGTCTTTCTTATATGAGAAATCCAAAATATAAATAAAGACTAAAATCAAAGATAGATTATAGCAAGTATGGAGATAGGTATTTCTCAAAGGGGAAAAGAATCAGTGGCTAGAGGGGTGGGGAGGGAAAGGAAATGAAAAAAGAAATTAAGATGTATTATGTACTGACAGCAACTCCCCGCAGGGAATATAACAATAAAAACATGTATTAATAAAGAAATGATCTTTAAAAATCAAGTGTTTAGCTATCTGTATATTTTTATGCTATATCCTTATACTTTGTGTGTTCCCAAGGCCAAAAAAAAAAATGTCTATAAGAGAGCCACATCTTTAACATCTCTGATTTACCAGTCAAATGACGTCAGAATCACTTTCCTGGGCTTCCTTAGCAACAAACATAGCAACAGCAGCCCTACTTCTTTCCCTAAGGGAGGAGAACTGATTACTCCTGATTCTCTCCTAACTGACCAGAAAGCAATGGCAGCAACTTGAGATCTTTGTTTTATTCCCTATTTAGAAGCTACCCATTTAAGAAATCTTGGACCCACTGGCTTGGACAGAACTGAAATAGACTCTTCCAGAATTGATGAAAAGCTGAAAATAAATTTGTAAGCTGACCCTACATTTTCATATCCCTAGCTAGAATGTTCAGCCGGCAAAGCCACTTAAAATAGCTGATCCTGAGTGGAATATTTCTGGACGCTTAAGTTTTGTGAACCAAGCCAAGCGACTTTATAAAACCACATGAGATGCAGGCTGTTCACATGTCTGGGAGAGTCATGGTACAGCGTCCTGTCCCCTCCTGTCCAGGAGAAATGGTGATCACCCTGACTCCTTACAGAAACTATTTTCAAGTGAGTTCACTCCACCCTCCTAAGTCCTGACCTGCCTAATTACATGCCTGATCCTCACCCTTCTGAATCATGAAGATTCCTTCTCTCATTATGTCCACTGGACCTTTCTGCTTTTCGAGCAGAATGTTGAAGACAGCTTATGCTTATGTAAGTTAAAGTATATCCAACCAGAAAGTGTAATAAAGAACAAACTGACCAGCTAGAAACCTCCAAAAATGGATTAAGGTAAAAACCATAAAAAGCAGCAAAAGCTTACCCAGGTGCATTTTCCAATGATGCCACACCCTTGGAAAGAGCTGTGACTGAGAATCTATAAAATACGGAGTCAAAGGGGCATTGCTTCTAAAAGTCTCTTTGCACAGAGTGTGGTTTGCATTCTGCTTTGTGTTTTAAAGTATTTTTTCTCCTACAGTGTCTCATAAAGTTGTAAGAATTAAAAGGTATGCTTCTCTGACAAACTGAACAAAAAAGGTGGATACAAATGAATGACTATTTTCTATCTGTATACTCAAAATAGGGTAGATATACAGCTGCATTCTCTTAATTCAGTGAATAGAGAGATTTGTTCTAATAGTGTTTGTGGACAGAATATCAAGTCTGCATCTTGTACAATGAATAACCACTAAGACAACAATATGCAATGTATTAATTATTGAAACTGTGCTAGTAATCAGTTTTGAAACTGTGTCATTGGTATTTGTTTCTCAATAAAATTGTTTTTAAAAAAAAGAATTAAAGGGTATGCAGATGCCTAGCTTTTAGTGATGGCTGCATAAATGTTGAGGCTGCTTCCCTCTGCTCAGCCCTCCCCAGCCTGCCTCTGCGAATTCTCCAAAGCCCATGCTATGTACATAAGAAATCTGAGGCACAGAGAACCACCATCTGTAGGACCTGGAAATCACAGAGCTACACTTGAAGCCCAACGCTGGGGGTCAGAATAGTCAGATACAGCACACTTTCCACAGAATGAAGATGGGCGACCTGAGCTTGGGACCCCTCCTGTCTCTCAGGCACTATTCCTAGTTCCCTTTCCCCCATTCCTATTCCCCATTCCTTTTCTCCAGTAAATTTTCCTACTCTAAAAAAAAAAAAAAAAAAAAGAACCTTAGCCACACCTTGTCCTGTCATTTTCAACCCCAGGTGAGCTTTATAACCATGGTGTTTATTACAGCCTACATTTCTGATGTTTGCAAAAGAAAATGTTCCT